CCACCTAGTAAACAAAACCTCAGCTTTTCCCAGGTATCTTGACTCGATTCCACACTAGAATTCCAGAGCATTGCTTCTTTTCATGAAGCTCCACTCATCTGAGGAGTTATTTTCTCTATAGGATATTTTACTATTTTCAGTAGTTTTACATTTCTCCCAGACATGAACAGATGAGTCACAGAAGAGGAAATTCAGGACCATATTCTCTGATCTGAAAACCTGAGGGTCAGATGTGCTTCAGAGGTCAGATGTGCTTTGAAATTCAGATTTTGTGATTTTAGAAAGGTAATACAATGCATTTAGCACACATTATGTAATAATCAGAAATCAAACTCATTGATATCACTGCAGCAAAACTTAGCAATATTCAAATTAAATGAGATAAATACTACAGAATCTTACATTGGTTCAGGCCAGATTTTACCACCAATGGAATATGCAAAAAGCCTCAAAAACACTTTTGGTTTTCAAAAATTTTTGGATTTCAGAATTGTCCATCAAGAATTATAGACATGTGCAAATGGCTCAAATACTAGAAAAAATAGTCAACCTACTAGTAATCAAAGACATACAAATTAAAACAATCAAGGTACCAATTTCTGCCTTACAAATCAGCAAATATGTTTTTCAGAGAAAATGCCAATGGTGTGAAAAGTGAGTCCTTCCACCACTGCTGTGAGAACTGAGACAACCTTCAGGTCACCAATATTTGTGTCATCCATGACCTCAAAAACATGAATACCTTTGACCCTAAAATTGCCTTTTCAGGAACCCATTTTCTGTGGAAGTCACTGATATCTAGACAAAGCTTTATACATAGATGTTCACTGAAACAATGAGTTTTAAAATTCATTTGAAAATAATTAGCAACAACTGAAATCTCCTAAAATGGAGGCAGAATGAATCCATATAATAGAATATTATGCAGCCATTTTTTGAGTGTGTAGGAAAACGGAGAAACTTTCATGCATAATATTAGGTGAAAAACACAAGATACAAAATTATATTTGCACTATGAGCCTATCCAAGTAAAAAATAGAGAAAGAGACGACCAGAATGAAATAGGCTAATAGTGGTGGGTGCCTTCGAGTAATGACATCAAGAATGATTCTCTCCTTTTCCCTCTAAACTTTAAACCTTTGGGGAAATTTCCCAAAAATATCAAGAGTACTGTATTTTAGCTGAGGGGAAATGGGAAAAGATGGCTTGGCTACTTAACTCCCACTCAGTGGCAGCAAACTCATGAATCTGAGGTGTCACTCCGGCCTTTTTTAAATTTACAACGAACCTATCATTGCAAAACCATCACCACCTCCAGAATGAAAATTTTACAGTATATGTGGTCTACATTTATTAGATAGTTTGGTTGACATCATAATATAAGTCCAGCCTAATGGGCACTTTGGGGAAGAAATACAGAAAAAAAGATACACAAGATAAAAGATATATGCCATTTGTCAAGACCTTTCAGAGACAACAACTCGTCTGATCCTCATTAGCAGCCAGTAAGGCAGATAAAGATTGGCACACGCCCATTTTATGATAAGAAAATGGAGGCAGAGAGAGCCACACTCCTAAAAGGGCAGGGGTTCTTTATGACGTTTGACTTCAAGTACAGGTATCTAAACTTAGAGCTTGATGCTCTTTCCACTATATCATGCCATTACCCTATTACTTAGTGATTCTTTATAAATATCTTAGAATAAAAAGAAATTTCTCACTCAAAAGAAAAGCAAAATGATTTAGTAATAAAAAGAATAGGCTTCAGAATTGAACAGATCTGACTGGAGGTCAAAATTCAACTTACACATTTGAGGGACTTTTTCAATTTAATTTCTCAGAGACTCAATTTCCTCATTAGGAATAAAATTACGTAGCTGACAGGATGTTGTAATAATTAAATGATCTGAGTACTTAGATCACAGCCTGACACAAAACAGATATAATAAACATTGCATTCCTTCCTCCAAAAAGAGTAAAGCGCCTACAGTGCACTAACTCCAAATTCCAATGCTAGTCCTTGTTAGCCACACCATACTCATTATTCTACATGTTTTCAGCAGCCCACCAAATCGTCACCAATTACTTAAGTGGGTGCCCTAAAATTATTAGAAACCACACAACATAATACTTTTAACCAATGACAATTTAAGTCACTTTTTGTCAGTTTTAAATAATTTCTCTTTTGTCCCAATATGTAATTAAACTTCAACATAAGAGCCAAACAATTATTTAATAAGTAAGAATGAAATTTTTTTCTATCATCGGGGGCTTTGGCCTCTCTCATTCAAATTCTACCACTGGAACTCCCAAATTGTTTGCTTGATTAATTTCTTTTCTGGGGGGAAAGGAAGAAGAGGGGGAAAGGATGGGCATTTCTCAGATTTTTCACTTCCTCTTTAAATTAAATTTGGGTATGGAAGCCCAAGCTCCAAAGGGTGCTTTCTCAAAACATTCTCTCCACTGACTATGTACTATGTGCAGGTGCAGCTGGGAAGCTACCTGGGCAAAGGGGAACCCAGAAGTTAATAAAGACTATCTTTAGCATCTAAAGGAGGAGTCAGGAGGCTGGATGGAAGCCCACAGGGCCCAAGGAGAGTACACTTCTCATTTCACCAAGCCCTGGTCCTTTGCTGCCCACCGCTTACTCAAAGGCCATGCCCATCATCTGGTAGAGAAACTAACAAGCCCAAAGGTTAAGTAACTAGAGAACTTAAGGACATAAATAAGCCAAGATGTGGAAAATCATCCCTTCTGGTGCTGTGGTATATAGTTTCCAAAGCTGCTACTATGAGACAGAAGTTTAATGAGACCCTTCTACTAGGAAGGAAGTGAAAGAGACATTGCCACTACCAACTATGAAGTTATTTGTCCTTTTCTCTGCTTCCCAACCTCTGAGAACCACAGGCTTGCAATTTGATGATGTCCTAAACTCCCTGTCTTAGAATCTCAGCAAGACTGCTGAAGTTGATCTCTGTTCTATTTTTCCTCTCGGCAGCAGTGGAGTGCAATGGAAAGAGAATGAACTTTGGAATCAAGCAGGCTGGGTTATTAAAGATAAAGATGCATATAAAGACACACATGAGTGGTTCTGCTTCTTGGACTGAATGCTGACCGATACACTAGGTATGTGATGTTGAGCCAACTGTTTAACCTCTCTGGGCCTCAGTTGCCTCACTGCAAATAAGAACTTCATAGGGTTATGAGAAATAAGTGTAAAAATGAATATGAAGTGCCCAACTCAAAGCCTGGCACATAGCAGGCACTCAACATTACTTTCCATCTTCTTCTCCCTACTTCCCTAAAATATTCCCTACAAACATTAATCCTGTCTTAGATTCCAACGGAACCAGATGATGGCTGGTCAGGGCATCTTTTCTCCATACAAGCTTCAAGTCACGCTGGCAAATTTGTACTCTGCACCTTTTCCTTTTTAGATATCTCATTCTTCTAAAGTGTTCACTTTCCCCAAAAAGGTTACCGTCCAATTAGATGAGAGCTTTCTTCATTACGTTCCAGTCCTAAGAGCAGGATGTTGCTCAGAGATCCACTGAAACACAAACTTACCCTACTGTTGTATTTCTCCTGTTGATGGCTGATTACATGCATCATGTGCTGATTTTTAACAATTTTACTCCCAGGTTAAGCTCTTCAAATTCTGGAGCAACTGACTCTAGCCCTCTAAATACAGTCTACAACCTCAGGTCCAATTGAACCTGATGATGCACCCACCTATCTCAGCAATGAAACTCAGGGTGAAAACCACAGTCTCCCATCCAACAATACATGTCACTAGCCGCCATCTCCACAGGGTGGATAGCTGAAGGAAATACGGGTCTGCTAATAAAGAGTCAGGAGACATATTATCATCCCCTTCGCATGTAACATGTTCCGGTTTCTATGAAAAAGTGAAAGCCAATGTGATAAGCCAGTTTAAAAGCTGTAAGCAACTGGAATCTTCTCAGGAGTGAAGAGTAGTGTCTGTGTTTTTATGGAGGAGATAGTCACCATTGGAAGGCTTCCAGTTGCTTATTATTTGGACCTGAAGAGAAGCGGCTCAAGCTTGGAAGAGCTTGCTGATCTAAGATTCCAGGCTGTGGTAACCCCAATTGGCCGAGAAGGTGTACGTTTATTATTTTTTAACTACTGCTGTACCGCGGCAATTAAGAGGGGAAACGATGCTAAGGAATCCCTGGCGTCTATGGTTACAAAAACAATAGTGTGAGACTGGGCTTCCGTAAAAGTTACACCTCCTCTTAGATTTCAATTAAAAACTCCTGCTCCAAATTCATCACTGGGGACAACATTTTATCATCTCTGCTGGTGGCTTCCTGCTCTAACCACAGTAGGTTCCTTTTGCGGTTACAAGATTCCACTCAAAGAAAAAAAAAAGTAAGTTTACAAACGCGCCTTCTCTTTTTCCGAGTCTCATTTATCCAGGATATGTGGAAAGAAACCTGAACCCCTCAACCTGTTACAAGAATCCATCAACCACTAAAATAAATATAAATTTGGAAAGGAAAGAAACTGGAACTCCCCAAGGTTTAAGATTGAAAAAAAAAAAAGATGGGGGGAGGGAGGCGGCGACAGCGCACCCGGTCTCCTGTGTCAAGATCTACCGCTCGCGGGGCCTTCGAGGACATGGGCGGCAGGAAAGGGGTCCGCAGGGCTCCGAGGGGACCGGCCCAGGCGGAAGCGCACCGGAGCAAGGCAAGACCAGGCCGGGTCCCTACACCCCAGACAGCTCAGAAGTGGGGGCGGCGGGTAACAGGTCCTCAGAGGAGCCTGCGAGGGGAGGGAAGGCGGGAGGCCGGCAGGCGGGAAGGGAGGGACGGGAGCCATCGCCACGCGCCGCGCCCGGCCCGGGCCACCCCCAACAGCCAGATGTTCAGCGCCGGATCCCACGGCTGTGCCAGCACAAGGGCAGCTCGGGGCGCAGCGTGGCTGCCGTCCGGATCCCTAGCCTCCTCCTGCGCGCCCAGCCCCAACGGGGCACTCACCAGGGGACACCAGGGGCGAACTCACGGCGCCTCCCACGAAGACAGCAGCGGCGAGGACGGCAGACCCCCGGAGTGCCCGCGGAGCCATCGCCGCGTCCCTTCGCCTACCTCCCCCGGGGCGCCGTGTCCCGGGCTCCAGCAGGCGGTGCAGCTCTGGAGCCGGCGGGCCGACTAAGTGCCGGGGCTCGGCCCCCGCGCGCTGCGAACCCCGCCCCGCCAGGGACCCTCCTCCCCGGCCCCACCCACCTCTGCTCGGCCCTGCCTCTCCCCGCCAAGCCCCGGGCTACGCCTGCACGCGCGCGAGGCCCACCCGTGGCCACGCCCTCCTGACACGCCCATCTCTGGCTGGCCCCGCCTCTCCCCGCCGTGCCCGCTTCCTTTCTAACTCCGGCCGCAGCTTCAGGAGCCCGGATTAGGCCATGGCCCCGCCCCTGCCCCGCCCACCGTGGCCTGACCCCGCCTCTTCTCGTAGCGCCCTGTTCCTTTCCCAGCCGGGCCCGACCGCAGCCGACCGGACTGAGCGGGAGCTGGGGGCGGGGGCAGGGTCGCCGGGGCTGATCCTCCCGGGCTCTGGGACCAGCGGGCGTGGGACGAGGGAAAGAGAGAGCGGGGCGGGAAGCTGTGGACGGGCACGGTCAGCATTAGAAGGGCACGATCTATTTTCTCTGTTGGCATCTCTCTCCAGCCGGCATTCCCCTCGGTGACTTGTCCAGGGAGGGGCGCTGCACTGGAACTCAAGTTCCACTGTTTGGAAATTGAAGAGAAAAGGCAAATCACTTAAATTTCTTCTTCTCTCCGCTTCCATTTAAGCTGCTTCTATTGGGGGAAAGACCTCTACATACCTTCAGGAACAATTTGCTTTTTTTCTTGTTGTTTTGTCGTCTGTCCACTTTGCACCTTGCAAATCCTCCCACGAAGTAGCTCTTCAAGTGCCCACTCACTCCCTTATCTCTTTATATCCTCACATCAGCTCTGTGAGGTGAGTAGTATTCCCGTTTCACAGGCCGGAGAGTAAACCCCCGACGGCCGAGCCACCGCGATAAATTGGAATTAATTTGTCTTCGTTGTGTTTGCTCACTGCTGTGCCCTCAGCGCCTGCCTCAATGACAGCACACACTAAGAGGTCAGAGTGGTTTTTGAAGTTGAGTCATCATCACGAGCATTGATTGGACTCATAGGCTTTCTTTGAGTAGTTCACTCTCTACTGCAACTTAGAGACTCCTGAAACAAAGCGGGAAAGCCTGGAGAAAACGCTAAGAACACCAGCAGGGGGAGGGGATGGGGGCTGGGGATGTTCACAGAATGCAGCTCTTCCTTGGCCTGACTGACAGCCTCCAATTTTCAAAGGAGGACTATTTATCTTCTCGCTGAGTTCTCAGTGGAGTCTCCTAGACTCTCAGAAACATTTGCACTGATGTGGAAATTCCCACTGACAGAAGCGCGGCCACTACAGATGGCTGGGGCCGAAGGGTGGAGCCTCTGCCCTTTGAAGCCAAAGGCCTGCGCATGCTGTGTGTCCTGTGCACAGTTGTCGGCACATCCTGCAGTCTGGCGGGCCAAGCAGTTTTATACCAACATAAAAGCTGACAATGGCTGCAGAGGAAAGAGGTCTGTGTGGGTTTCTAACCAAAAAAAGGAGAGAGTCCTGGGCCTAGAAATTAAATTGTAAATTATAAGTTGTAGCCAGAACTAGCTACATAATTTGCGGAGCCCAGTGTAAAATGAAAATGCAGGGCCTTTTGTTCAAAAATTATTAAGAATTTCAAGATGGCAATAGCAGAACATTAAATCAATCGTGGAGCCCTTCTAAGCATGGGGCCCTGTGCAAGGGCACAGGTCACACACCCGTAGAGCCAGCTCTGGTTTTGGAACTTAGAATGGAGCAAAATGCTTGGACCAAGATGTCTATTCAAAATGTAAAATACTATTTTAAAAATAAGTAATGTCTCACTCTTTTCTCACAGATTGAACTTACTCTTAAAAAGACAGAATAATTTTGGGGGCCAGCCCAGTGGTGTAGTAGTTAAGTTCATGCGCTCCACTTCGGTGGCTGGGGTGCACAGGTTTGCATCCCAGGCACGGACCTACACACTGCTTGTCAAGCCATGCCGTGGCAGGCATCCCACATATAAAGTAGAGGAAGATGGGCACGGATGTTAGCTCAGGGCTAATCTTCCTCACACACACACAAAAAAGACAAAATAATTTTTAACAATCCATTTGAATTGGATGTCTGCATATGGCTCTCCAGAAATAAAAATATAATCCAGTACTGTCATGCATTGCTTAACCATGAGGATATGTTCTGAGAAATGCATCGTTAGGGGATTTCATCGTTGTGCTAACATCAGAGTGTACTGAAGGGGAATGAAATTTGCCACTCCAAAATATGTCTTTTTAACATGAGGATTATTTTAGACTGATTATTTTTAAGAAACAAAAGACTTAGAAAGTTTTTCTTCTTACCTCCCCCTTAACTGCCTGAAAGAACTTGATTGAAAAAAACCTGTCTCAGGAAGGGAGCTATCACCTTAGCATAACATGAGCTAGGTTGTAGATGGGGAGGAACCTAGAAAAGCCTGTTTGCTGGGTTCCTCTAGGTGTTCTTCTGTTTCTGTGTGACCAAACACTTGTTTTCCAAACATTTGCTCCTTTTCACCTGCCTGTGAGTTGCCTCCCTTCCCTTTGAAGTCCCTGACTCTCCCCACCCCCAACATCTTCTTTTGTCTTTAGCTGAGGATGGTATTTAAGGTGAGGGCTTTGGCCATTTTGGTGAGTTAACTTGGTTTTCCTGGGTTTCTCCCATGTGTACATATTATTAAACTTTGTTTTTCTCTTGTTAATCTATCTCGTGTCAATTTAATTATTAGACTAGCGAGAAGAATCTAGAAGGGTAGAGGAAAATTTCTTCCTCCCCTGTAGTACTTACACAAACATAGGTGGTATAGCCTACCACACACCTAGGCTATATGTTAGTGATCTTATGGGAGGACTGTCATATATAAGGTCTGTCATTGACCAAAATGCCATTATGTGGTACATGATTATAATTAAAACTGGAGGAAACCTTGGTAACCATCTACCAAGCCCCTTATTTTACAGATGAGAGATAGTTAAGTGACTTGCCTGATATCTCATACCTAGTGTGAGCCAGGGTTAGAACCCAAGGCTCTGTAATTTCCCTTCTCAAGACTTTTCCATAATACCTAGCTGCTTGACACACTCTGTAGATATCTAACTGTTACATAACCCCATATATATGCATTTACAAAGCTTGTTAAAGGAAGGAAGGGAGGGAGGGAAGAAGAAAAGAAAGGAGGAAAGAAGGAAAGAAAATCAAGCTTAAATTATTTTCCAGGTACCACTGCAGATTTGTTTACACAATTTAAAAAGCTTCCACATACTCTCTAAAAGCATACACCATACTTTGGCATATCTAAAAGCCATTGTTATTATTTTATTTTAAATGTGAAGACTCCAATGTGATGGACTTTCTCTTCTGTATTAGGAAGAAAATGTCATATTTCTTCTGAGGAAATAAAGTTGATATCACAAGACTAAGTGATCTTCCCATATTTTCAGAAATAAAATTAAGAGAGAGTAAGTAGAAATAGTCGTAACAATAGTTCTCCTTTATTCATCCCTTAGACTTAGCCCAATCCTGTGGTGAGCACTTTTTCTGTGTTCCCTCATCAGATCCTCATCATTTTATATGTTGAGCAGTACTGTTAGTGATCCTCACTTCAAAGCTGAGGAGACTCAAATTTGAAGGACTAAGGCATTTACCCAAGTCACACAGCTGCTCCTTGGTGCTGCCAGGACTCCAATCCAGGATCAGCTTGCTCCAGGCCTGCCCTTGAACTTCTGCTTGTCCTATTCTGCCTCTGAAATGCAGAATGCTAGCCAATCAGCTCTCCTTTTCCAATACAAGGACTTATTCTCTCATTGCATGCTTAGCCTGGCCTTTTTGAACTCTGTTACAACAATTGCTTACATATTTTTCCCTTCAAGAAGAATAATTTACCTATTTATGGGAATGGGTTATAAATAAGAGTTCATAGGAATGAAATTTACAAACTTATACAATGTGCTGTCCTTTCTGTTTTTTGTTGGTTTTTTTTCCCAGTTTCTCTGTAAGAATTCAGTTAATCATTCCCCTTAGTAGAAACCTTTCCTGTTTTCCTCTGAGCTGCTAAGGTGGCAATTTTCATCACCATCATTTAAATGCATTAGACTCAGTTGGCTTGGATTTACTCTAATTAACGTTGAAAACACTTCCGCAGAAGGTCTCTGTAGAATTTCTTCCTTCTGTGATTAGATGTAGTCATCTTTCCTTTTGAGAGGTTATATGCAGGAGAGAAGCTTACAGTTCTTTAAAACAATATGTTTGCAGGGAAATAAAATGATGTTTTACAGAATCTAGGGTTATTTTGATCTAACAACAAGTATGCACTGTGTTCATAGTACTGGGCTGAAGGTAGGAGGTTAAACGAGGGGAGAGTTACTGCACATTTAATAAAAGAGCCTAACCTTGCTTATAGAAACTTTTTAAACCTACCTGGGAGAAAGGAAACAACAGCATAGTAAAATGGAAATGGTCAAAGGCCCAGGGGTCCAGGGATAAAGCCTGCCAATGACTCACTTTGTGACTTCCAGCGGCTTCTCTTCGATTGGTCTTCTTATCCATATAATTCCAGGGGGGTGACAGGATGATTTCTAAAGATTCTCATCTGGCCCTAAGATTCTACACCATAATGAGTAATCAAATGAGAGGGTGCATGGTGCCAAAGTCAGGCTAGCTAGACTGTAGGGTTTCTCAACATCATCGACAGTGTGGGCCGGATAATTCTTTGTTGGGTGGCTGTTTCGTGCAGTGCAGGATGTTTAGCAGCATCCTTGGCCTCTACCAGCTAAATGCCAGAAGCACTCTCTCGCAAGTTGTGGCAACCACAAATATCTCCAGATACTACCAAATGTCCCCTGAGGGACAAAATTGCCATGACTGAGAACCACTGGGCTAGAGAAATTCCAAGACCAAAAGGATTGCAGCCAGAGGCTCTGAGCAAGGCTTCATGGAGAAAGTGCAATTTGAGCTGAGTCTGAAGGAAGGGCAGGGATTAATGGAAAGGGGGTGGAAGGATATGAGCGTCTGTACAGTGAAAGAATGTGTGTGATGTAGGCTGCACAGTGATAAGGATGCATGAGGGAAAGAAGGAGAGAAAGAGTTGGCA